AAATATACAAACAAAATGAATTTTGGTGTTTGTCATATTTTAAGGAGTAATTATTTGAACTTTGAAACTTGCAGAGCTTTCATATTGATAAAACTACTGGGAAGAAATGTTATATGATTGGAGCAAAGGGACTCAAACCTGGACCTTTTAATTATTACAGAAAATTGACACCTCACGCGGACTCCAGGTATCATTCATCAAATCTTTTGCTTTTATATTTAATTTGGAAATTGCATTCTGATAAGGGGGATATCAACTATATGATGTGCAGATTCTCAATGGTGGCAGAACACAGAGATATTTGGGCGCTCGATATCCGAGGGAAGATAGAAACACAAATGTTGTCCCCAAAGACTCGTTATGCAGTTTATCTCGTATATAGATTAGAAAAGGATTTCGTGGACCTTCAACCAGTTAAAGGGATTATCAAGTTTGTTAATCTTGATGAAGATCATGATGCGGAAAGGCGAGCTACTACGTTGCACCTTCAACCAGGGTTGGTGGGTAAAGGTCAGCAGATTGCAGTGAGTAGACCCGACGGATGGATGGAAGTACAATTGGGAATGTTTTATAATAATCTAGGATATGATGGCCCGGTAGAGGCACGGCTATTTAAATCTTCCGCGCAATTGAATATTGTCATCGTTGTTGAAGGAATTGAGTTTCGACCTACTTCAAATGCAGAGATAGAGTTCGTTTCAAAAGAAAATGTGAAAAACCGAAGAAAAGGAATGTTTTCAAAATTAAGGATTTCTAAATAAAATGGAAATAAATTTTCTAGCTCCCTCGCATTTGCTTTCCTTTTCTCTTATTTGATATACGTGTATAATGAGAAGAGCAAAGAGTTGCTGCAAAGAAACAAGTTAAGATTTTCCAGCGAAATGTTATGTAAATAATACAGGGTTTCATGATGATAGGAAACAATTAAAGAATCATGGGTTTCGAGCAATATCACTTCAAAAATATTCCACTCAAAGCATGATTGGTAGAATAGAATGCATTACATTAAATTGTGTTAAGGAAGAAGAATTAAGTATTTCCTGTTATATTGTTCAATTCTCTCTCATAATGCTTACCAAACATATTCACTGGGCACGTTCAGCAAAAAATAAATAAATAGAAAAACAGAGAGAGAGAGAGAGAATGAATGAATGCTATTGGCAAAGATTCATTTAATAATATTGCATAAATATTAAGGGAAAACTTCGTGTGCTTTCTAGATTCTCGACGATGGCAAAGTTTAGAATTATTTGGCGGCTTGATATTCGAGCGATATAGATACACAAATGTTGTCCTGATTCAACGGAATAGGGAATAAACAACACCACGATCACAAGTCCATTGATTTCATGAATGCCGAGAAAGGATCAAGATTGTAGAATAAATCTCACATTGCACAAAATTTCATTCATAAAAA